CCCTGAGTTTATTTCTTCCCATCTACTCTTTTGGGGGTAGTATTTCTTCTTGTTCCAGAGCTCTCAGACATGTTGTTAAGTTACTAATATGAGAATACTCTACTCTTTTGTCAGTGTAAGGGGCATTCTTCCCATACTGCTGAAGAATGGACCTTGGATTTTGTCAGCTTTTTTTTTTTTTCTGCATCTATTGAGATAATCATTCCCTTTTTTTTTTTTTAAGTTTGTTACTGGCAAATTACTTTGATTGATTTTTAAGTACAAATTTACCCTATGATACATCTTCCTTTGGTGTTTGTAATTCTTTTAATATGTTGTTTGGTTGGATTTGCTGAAACTTTATTTGTAATTTGTGCAGCTCTGATTATTGGGGTTGCAGTCTGGTTTGCTTTATTTATTTTCATTTTGTGAAGATTTATTTACTTGTTTTATGTATATGAGTGCTCTATCTGCATATACACCTTCATGCCAGAAATGGGCTTGAGATCCCAGTGTAGTTGGTTGTAAGCCACTATATGGTTGCGGTAAATTGAACTCAGTACCTCTGGAGGTGCTCTTAGCCACTGAGCCATCTCTCCAGTCCACAGTCTGATTTATAATGACCTCTCTGTGTGAATATTGGTTATGTTGATCGTTTGTTTTCTTTTTCTGAAAGAACTTGTGTAGAATTATTATCATTTTCTCTATGCTGTAAATGTTTTTGTAGAATATATCAGTAAGACCATCTAGGCTAGTAATTTTCTCTTTGAGAAAGTTTGTAATTATAGATTCAAAGCCTCTGAACATACTTGGCCAGTCAAGTTACCTTCTTGCACAAGCATTGGAAGGTTGAATCTTTAAAGGAGTTTGTGCAATACATTAGTGTGAAGCTGCTCATGATATTCAAATACATGTAGATGCCATTTTTCCCCAGATCATTCTAATTTGGAGTTTGTCAACCATATTGATCTTAAATACTAGAATTTGGTTTTCAGTTCATTGATTTTTGTGTGATATTTATTACTTATTTTCATCTATTTATTTTTCATTTGCTGCTCTTTTTTCCTAGTCTTCTCAGGTAAAAGCAGGTTAATTGGCTTTTTTTAAAACATCACCTTTTATTTGGTACATTTGGTAGAGACTGCACTCCAAATTTTGAATTCTGATCTCTTCCCTGGCTAGCACTATGTGGTGAGACACTCCGTGTGTTCCTGGGCTGCAGCTCTTGGTTGGCCACGTGATCAGAAGGATGCACAGTTGATGCTTTGTGGTGTAGTGTGCTGTGTAGCTAAGCGGTAGTGCTCAGGGGGGGTAAGCTCGTTAGGTGCACTTTTCGGAGTAAAGATGCTCACCGTTACACGATGGAGCTGACTTGGTGTGTGAGTCCAGGGGCACCTGCACTTTAAAGATGTTGTGGCGCTGCTTTCCAGTGTGCATCGCTCCCTAGGAGAACATGCATTAAAGACCCTATTCTTTTGTTCCCATGTTAATATGAATCTGTGTTTCCCTGGGTTTTCTTAACATTTTCTGTTGGCCAACTGCTTTAGGCTATTTGATCACACTATTTCTTAGTGCAGTTCTCTTTATCTTTCATGTGTATATGTGTACTTGGCTCCTTGGATTCATTCTCTTAAATTTGGATTTTTAAAAATTTTCAAATATTTTTCTCTTATTCCCTTTTCAGATACATTTTTTACACTTAATGTTAGGTGCACTCTTTGTGTGTGTGTGTGTGTGTGTGTGTGTGTGTGTGTGTGTGTGTGTGTGTGTTACGAGGGATTAAACTCAAGGCTTTACAGTGTTAGGCAGTAGGCAGTTGCTCTAACACAGAGTACTAGGCTCTGTCCTTTATTTCCTTATATCAGCATTGGGACAGGGTATTGTAAGTGATTGAGACTAGAGCCCATTCTGTAGCCTGGCCAGCCTTTGAAGCTGTGATCCCTCCGTGTCTACTTCCTCAGTAGCTATAATTATAGACCTATGCACCAAGCCCTGCTGCTTGTTCATTCTAAATTATTTTTATTTAGTTTCTATTTCTACATTTTAATTTTTTCTCTATGCAAAGTCTAATCTGCTTTTAGCAATTCTAAATATTTTTCAGTATATACTTTCATCTCAGTTTTCATATATGGAATACGATTTCAGTTGCTAAAAATGTAACTTCTCCATCTCTATACTTTTTGAACATATGAGGGAATTCTTACATTTAATCAGTTAAATTGATTTCATATTTTTTTACCCTATTAGTATTTAGTATTTAGTATTTAGTATTTAGTATTAGTATTAGTATTAGTATTAGTAGTATTAGTATTAGTATTTAGTATTGTATTTTCCTACCCTATTAGATGTCTAGGTTTTTCTTGTTGTTGCTGTTTTGTTTTCTCTGTTTGAGATAGGGTCTGTGTGGACTAGACTGGCCTTGAACTCAGAGATCCACCTATCTCTGCCCCCAAGTGCTGGTCTAAAGGTGTACACCACCAGATGGCTAGTGTGTTGGATAGTCTTCTGTCAACATGATATAAGCTAAAGTCATCTGAGAGGAGGGAGGCTCGATTACGAAAATGCTTTCTTTAGCTGTGACTTTGGGAAAGCCTGTAGGGCGCTTTCTTAATTAGTGATTGCTGTGGGAGGGCCCAGCCCGTTGTGGTTGGTACCCTTCCCTGGACTGGTGGCGCTGGGGTCTATAAAATGTACAGGCTGAGTAAGCAAGCCATGGAGAGCAAGCCAGCAAGCAGCACCCATCTGTGGCCTCTGCATCAGCTCCTGCCTCTAGGTTTCTGCCATTTGAGTTCCTGTCCTTACTTTCTTCAGACCATGGGTAAGGAAGTACATGCCAAATAAACCCTTTTCTTCTCAACTTGCTTTTGGTCATGGTGTTTCATCACAGCAAGAGGAACTCTAAGAGAGCTAGTAATATTTTTTATTAGATCTTAAATGCAACTTTTCTTTTTTTGGGTACTGGAAACTTTTGAAAGTTTTTTGCTGTTTTGTTTTCTTTTTCCTCTCTCCCTAGCTTGTTCTGTCTCCCTCCCCACTTCTTGTTGTTGACACTGTGTAGACCTCCTTGACTGATCTTGTCTGGCCTTGAATTTACAGAGGTCTGCCTGCCTGTACTTCTTGATGACTGGCATTAAACGTCTGCTCCATCATTCCTGGTTTTTGAATTTTCAATTCTTACAATGTTCTTGCACTTTTTTCTAGGATGCATGTAAGCTGCTTGGAAATCCTTTGCTCTTATTAGATGTTTTGGGTTTGGCTGGTTTTGTTTTCATGTAGGACGGGAACAGTGCTTTAAGCTACTGTTTATTTCTGACTGCAGATTCACGGTCTTTCTGTGTGTCTACTGGTGCCCAGATTCTTGCTCTTCATTTAGTCAGTGGATCTGGTGTTCTTAGGCCTCTCTGGCTTTCCACTTAGTTCTCATGTCCTTCTCTAGGCTCAGAGATCCTTTTCCTCACACTGTATGTATGAGTTCTGAGGTGAGCCCCAGTGGGGAGACCTGAGGTATAACTAAGTTCAGTTTGTGCTTTGGTTTATGCTGGTCAGGGAAAGGAATGTTGTAGGTGAAGGCATACAAGTCCAGAGCTGCGGCTTTGGCATGTAGAGATGCTTACTAGCCATGTGGCCATATAAAAGCAGATCTGGAATTGGGCATTTGAAAGGAGAAGCACAACTGGGTTTGAGACTGTTTTTCGACTTGAGCCTCTTTGACAAAACCATAGGCTGATTGGCTTTAAACAACATATTGATTCTCACATTTCTGACACCCAAGATCAAAGTCAGTAAGCTTGGTTTCTCCTGAGCCTCTCCCCTCAGCTTTAGGTGGCCACCGTCTTGCCACGTCTTCACATGGCCTCTGTGTGTATGTTTCTCCCTAAAAGGATAGTTCTGCTGGATTGGGGCATCCTCCTTTCAACCTGACATATCCAGAGCTCCCTCTCTAAATAATGCAGTTCCATTGTAGGCTAATGCTTCAACATACAGACATTGGGACACAATTGATAAGTAGTCAGCACATGGGTGCTGTGTAAGCCACAGCAGCCAAGGACAGTAACCGTAGGTGAGCATCCTGATGGCAAGTCTCTGCAGCATGCAGAGATCCAGTCAAGTAAAGACGTGAGATGAGAAGCAGCGCTCACTGAGTGTCAGAGGCCAGGGCCATGCCTTGCCGGGTAAGGGAATGTTGTAGGATAGGAAGGTCTTCCTGTGTTCAGGATGCCACTGAGGCTCTGGTAAGTAGATGAGTGCTGGGCAAATGAAAACACCCAAGAGCGGCTGGGGTTTAGAGGGTGATTATAAGAGACATAACTAAAAAGCATTTGGACATTTAAGACTAGGTTAAGGTGGATATTTTAATCTAAGAGAAAATGCAGCCACTGAAAAATTTTCGGAAATGTGAAGTAATACTGATCAGGATTTGTGTTTAATGTCACACTTCCCCAGGTGGTAACCCCTACCTGTAATCCCAGTCCTGTGGAGGCTGAAGGCTAAGGAAAGAGATCATAAGTTCAAGGCCGCTCTGGGTTATTTCATAGGCTCTCTCTGAAATTAACAGTAGGAAAATTAACAGTTCTGTGCATACCATTTGGGAAGCAAATATTTTGTCACTTGCATCACATATTGTCGACCTTCTGTTTTTGAGATGAGGTTTCTGGCTAGTCTAGCTGGCCCTGGTTCCTCCCTGGTGCTTGCTTATTCAGCTCTGTGGTTTCAATCAGATGCTGCCATACCTGGATCTGTAAACATAAGTTCTAGAGATCACACTCAGATCTGAGCCACCTGTCCCGCAACCCCAGTACTGCATACTCCTACCATTACAAGACTTTACAGTCACACACTTTGCTGATTTCTAGAGCAGTAAGGTGCAAAGATTTTGAAAATGTCCAAAATAAGTTAACAATTCATAACATTTTTTTGTGATTTGGGTTCATTGTGTATCACATAATTTAACATTTTAGTGCAAATTCAAGAGACTCTCTCTACTTTGTCTAAATTATTCTTTTTGCCATACTTAATTACAGGGCTATTTCCTGATGTGGGTGGAGGTTATTTCTTGCCAAGACTTCAAGGAAAACTGGGTTACTTCCTCGCCCTGACAGGATTCAGACTAAAAGGAAGAGATGTTCACAGAGCAGGAATTGCCACGCACTTTGTAGATTCGGAAAAGGTAATTGGGTGCTTGCTGAGAGTGGCTAAGATCACAGGTTTTTGTTAAATATGGGTACAAATGCTAAATTTATTGCTTAAGCTCTGTGGCCTTGGAGAAAGCACTTAAGCCCTACCCCACTTCCTTGGCTGTCCCTTTCCTCCACACTGCCCAAGCTGAGCTGAAACTCAAGATCCTCTTGCATTCACCTTTCCAGGGCTGAGAATATTAGTTCTCTGCAGCCTGCCTGGCAAGGTACCTAAGCTTTCTGTCTCTCAGTTTCCACTGGCAAAATGGAGATAATGGTGCCTGAGCTGGTACCTTCAGTGGATAATTCTAAACAGTGTTGGTTTAACAACAACAAAATAGTGCCCAACTTAAAAAAAAAAAAAATCTATGGAAAACCAAAATTTATCTATTAAAACAATGACATTTTAATCCTGAGGGAAGAATGTTCTAGAATAAAGTGAGGAATGTTATAATATTTGGAAATGTATGTTATATGGTTACATTAATAATTGACAAGTAATAAGCCTTCAATTTTTAACTGTTAGTTTATTTTGAAGAGTTTTACTATTTAATCTAGCCTGATCTTGAACTTCTGCTTCTCTTAATCTCAGTGCTAGGAATCCAAGTGATAGGATTCCAGATATGTACCAATATTCCAAAAATTAACATTTTCAACACAGCTGTGTGAGTGTATGTGCGTGTGTGTGTGTGTTTTGTGTATGTTCAGAGTGGCCAAACTTCTTATCAAAATGTCTTACAATGTACAGGGTGGCCCCGTGAGTCCACATGCCCACTTTCTAGTGTTCTCGTGTACAGGGCACGGATACCAGACCATGCTCAGTTGCATGTTCCCATTCTCTAGTCTGATACACCCTTTGTGGCCTACCAGCCATTGGTGTAGTTAGAGAGCGTAAGAATGTGATTTTTGGTTCAGTTCTCTTTATATAGTTTATATTTAGATACAAATTCTCTGTAAACCTTGGGCCTATTCTTCACACTGATACACACTCTACCCCAGCCACCACTGTGAGCCTTTCATGCAATTAGAGTTTCAACTCTCTCCATGTTGTGTACGTCTGTGATCATCTATAGAGGAGGCAACTGTCTTGCCATTCCATTGTCCTCTCCCGTGTGTGTAGTTTAGACGGAGATGTCTGTGGGCTGTGTGATGGTACTGTGCCCTGTCTTGGGGTTTCAATTGCTGTGAAGAGACATCATGAACACAGCAACTCTTAAAAAGGAAAACATTTAACTGGGGCTGGCTTGCAGCTTCAGGGGTTTGGTCCATTATTGTCTGGCAGGAAGCATGGTGGCATGCAGGCAGACATGGTGCTGGAGAAGGAACCTAGAGCTCTACATCTGGATTGGCAGAAAATAGGAAAAAAGAGACACTGGGCCTGGCTTGAGCTTTTGAAACCTCAAAGCCCATCCTCAGTAATACACTTTCTCCAACAAGGCCACACCTGCTAATACTGCCACTCTCTGGGTACTGAGTGTTCAAATCTATGAGTCTATTGGGCCCTTCCTATTCAAACTATCACAGCCCCCACCAAGTCATCTGGCAGTGCTGCCTAGTTAATTTATAATGAAATGTGTACATAGGATCTTTCAAAGGCTTGGCGCCTGCAGTGCTTCAGTTTTGCAGGAAGAATGCTAAGCTTGTCCCATACCACAAGGGCTCCTTTGTCTCCCATCCTGCCTATCCTTCAGAAGTAGCATTTGCTGTATGGCCATATGTGCACATAGCTGCAGTCCAAGTTTCTTCCAGGGGTTAAGTGGGGAGAGCATGGATTCTAAGATAAGGATCCTAAGAGGGTTCTAAGCTTTCTGTGCTTTTGTAGAGTTCCATGTTTGTTGTTCTTGCCTTTTAGTTGCCCTTGTTGGAGGAGGAGTTGTTAGCCTTGCGGGCACCTTCAGCAGAGGATGTTGCAGGTGTCTTAGAAAGCTACCATGCCAAGGTGAGTGGTGCAGACATAGTGCAGAAGGCCTCTGTCTGCCTCATGCATGCTCTCTGTTTGCTGCTTCAGTTCTTGTGAGCACTTATGGGCCCAGGTTAGTTGGTTTTCTTTCCATCCTTGACCTCTCTGGCTCCTTCAGTCCTTCCTCCATCCTTCCACAGGATTCCCCAATCTGTGCCTAATGCTTGGCTGTGGGTCTCTGCATCTGTTTTCATCAGTTGCTGGGTGAAGCCTCTCTGATGACAGTTATGCTAGGCTCCTGTCTGCAAGTAGAGCTGAATATCATTAACAGTGTCAGGGGTGGGCTCTCTCCAAGTCATGGGTTTCAGGCTGGGCCAGTCATTGGGCCAGGCACTATTTGGCCATTTTCTAAGTTTCTGTTCCATCTTTACCCCTGCACATCTTGTAGGCAGGACAAATTGTGAGTCAAAAGTTTTGTGGCTGGGTTAGTGTCCCAATCCCTCCATTGGCCTACATTTTCTTATAAAGGCCAAAAGTAGGGGATGGGGAGGCAGTAATTCAGTCCATAAAGTATATGCTGCATAAGCATGTCAGGAACTGAAATTGATCCTAGATACGGTTCACTTGTAACCCCAACCTCAACCTCAAAGGGGGAGAGAGGTGCAGGTGCGCACGCGTGCACACACACACACACACACACACACACACACACACATACACAAATAGACAAAGCCAAGAATTCTTAAAAATCACAGTTGAATACATGGGTCTTCTTAACATTTTCCCTTTTGTGTGGGAAGCCAGCTGGAGCAATCTGAGTCCTGCAGAGAGACCTTTCAGGAACCGTGAACCTCTGAAGACCTGCACACTGGGGATGGGCAGCACAGTAGTGGAGTGTTGGCTCAGTATGTGCAAGGCTGTTTCTTCAGCACTGGAAAAAATAAGGACAAGAGTAGGAGAGAGGAAGAACTGAGAAAAGGAAGGGGTGATAGAATCCGTTGGAGAGACCCTGAGTCAGGACAGAGGTGCGGAGCAAAAGGAAAAAAACAGAAATTTATTACAAGTTTTAATAAGTGCAAAGTCTAGCCAACAACCAGGGATGGTTGGGGTGCTATACAGGAGGCAGCATGCTGAGTTGGAAGACCTGTAGCCCCTTTTAGTTGCAGGCTTGCAGAAACAATATCTGCTATTCTCCCACGCACTGGCCCTCAGGGAGCTCTCCTGACACATGTAGGTACTTGCCCGATCACAGAAGACACCATTCAGTTGACAGCCGTGGTGGCGTGTCATATAATTTACGAAAGATAATCAGGACCATCCAGAGTGCTAGATTCTTAGGCATGGGAAGGGAGAGACATATGTGGGAGTATACAGGCTTTAAAGCTTGATTGGAGTTCAGTGTTGAAAGGCTCCTTTTATAAGATATTGTCAGTACTGCATCCAAAACTCAGGCCCAGTTGTCCATTGCTGTGATCCAGTCTGACCTGCCAACAAAGTATGTGTTCTGTTCTGTAAGAGTTACTTTGGTAAACTGGCATTTTGTTTGTTTGCTTTTGGAGACAGGGCTTCTCTGTGTAACCTTGGCTGTCTTGGACTCTCTCTGTAGACCAGACTGTCCTCGAACTCACAGAGATCCACCTGGTTTTGCCTCCCTGAGTGTTGCCACTCGTGTGGCCACATTATAGGCGTTTCTTTATAGGCAGGTACCCGAATTTTGTCATGTGAGGCATGAGTAAAGATAAAAGAGATATTAACTAGAAATAGAAACAGGAGAGAGCTCAGGTTAAGAGGTAGAACCGCCATGGAGGCTGAATACTGAATATTGGAGCCCTGTGGATGGCTGCCTGGGTTAGTGTTCTCGCCCTGATGCCAGTCATCCAGTGGGGATCTCTAGCACAGGGTAGAGATTTGACAGGGTGTTCTCAGGGCTTAGGTCCTAGACCCTTATCTTTAGATTCATAGAAACATTTAGATGATACAAAAGTAAATAAAATTTTGCCTTTGGCACTTTTAAGAGCTTGTCTGGAGTTCTGCAGATTGTCTGATTTTTGAACATATGGTGGCAGTTATTTAAGATAGTGTTATATTTGACTGAAAGTGATAATCTGGCACAAAGTGTATCATTAAATACGATGAACTTTTAAAGGATTTTTGAAAGATTTGAGTCACTTCAAATTACTTCTTTTTAAACAGTCCAAGATGGATCGAGACAAATCTATCATATTTGATGAAAACATGGACAAAATAAACAGGTACTTAACAAGAGGTCCTGGTGGTGCTGCTCCTCTGGGAAGGCCTGGGAAGGCTATGTAAAGTCAAATTTGCTCCTGTTGGGATGATATTTGATAATGCTCTGCAGTTTGAGATGCTTTCATTTTCATTTACCTTTGAAAGAAAGGTTTCAACTCTTGCAAGAGTCATTGCAATCCTCTCCCATGCTTACTCATTTTAATGTAAAGTACCTCGTCTCAAAGTTGGGAAGAAAGGTGAGAGGATAATAATTGGATTGACTTTTCTTTTTGTCTTCACAACTTCAGCTCAGGAGAAGGTATTATTAAGCTAGTCAGCAAAAGGCTTTGTCCTGTGCTCTGAGAACTTAGCCAGCTGGCCTAAGGAAAAACAGGAGGGAATAGGAGGGAAATGACTGTTGTGTCTGTTTTGAAGGATCAGGTTTTTGTAGTTTAGACATGTGTTTAAATGTAAGTATCAGCAGTGCATGAAAGGAAATGTAAGCCAAGATTAGGTTTTATTTTGCACCAGCAATGCTCAATGAGAAATGCCCTTACCCAGGAAGTGGGGTGCATTTTTTCCCTTGCAAAGCACATTGAAAAGCCTTCTTATTGAAATGGGGCTTCGGAAAAGCCAGGGCCCAGGATCACTGGTGACTTGGAAATAGGAAATCACTTGTGCAATACTGAATCATGTTTCTTCCTTTAGTTGTTTTTCAGCCAATACTATGGAACAGATTATTGAAAACTTACGACAGGATGGTTCACCTTTTGCCATAGAACAGATAAAGGTAATACATGATACTTTCTGTCCCAGCTGGGTATGGACACCCTGGGACAGGCAAGTCTGTCTCGGGTTGTCAGTAGCCCATGGTGGTGTCTTAACAAGCCTCTAAGAGCATTACTTTTATATTTTTTTCATCGGATTTATCACTATAGAGTGATGATTTTGATGCCTTTGAAATTTTATCATTTAAAAGTTAATTTGTTTGTTGAGATATAGAAGTAAAATTGAACCCCAAATTTGTACCTTGTACCTAGAACTTGTACATTGTACTTTTTACCTTGTACCTAGAATTAGTCTAAACTCATTATGGAAGTATTTACATTTTGCAGATTACTTTGAATTTTTGGTGTGCTTAATTTTATCTTCAATTCTCTATCTTATTCCTCACCCTCCTTTCCATTTTCCTACCCCCACACCTGTCTTTTTACATTGGCTTCTACCGCCATCATTATTTCCTAGCCCCCCACTCATCTTTTTACACTGGCTTATACACCAGCAATATTTGAAGGAAATGGTGAGAATTACTCATGTCATCTTCCTATCCTGGGGCAAGCTTTTAAGACTCCTGAAGTTGCCATTGCTGTAGGTATCTTGTGGATGTTCTTTATCAATCTCTCCTTGTTGCCTACAAGGCTTTTTTATAATTATTGTTCTAAGTGTTAGATTTTATCATTTTCTGCAGCTGCTGAGATGATCATATTGAGTTTACTCTTTTCTCTGTTAGTATGGTTTACTATAGTTCTGTCCACCACCGTGTTTGGGGTTAAATCTAAGACTTTGTGTGTACTAGGCAAGGGTTCTACCAGTGAGTTATAACTCAAAGCCTATAGTAACTACTTTTTTTTTTTTCCTGTGTTCCAAGAAATGTCTGCTTACTCCCACAATGCAAAAATATCTACCTGTTTTTTCTTCTAAAAGCTTTTTAGTTGTTACCTATGTTGGTTTGAATGAGACTGGCCCCCATAGGCTCATATATGGGAATGCTTGGTCCCCAGTTGGTGGAACTGTTTGAAAAAGATTAGGAGGTATGCCCCTCTGGGAGGAGGTTTGTCACTGGGGTGGTAGTCTTTGAAGTTTCAAGAGTCTGCAGCATTCCCAGTTAACTCTCTCGGCCTCATGCTTGTGGAGCAAGTATAAGCTCTCAGCTCTGCCCCAGCACAGTGTCTGCCTGCCCTGTTCCCACCACGATGGTCATGGACTCTAACCCTCTATAACCCAAGAGTCCCAAATTAACTGCTTTCTTTTAGAAGTTGCCTTGGTTATGGTGTGTTATCACGGTAGCAGAACAGTGACTAAAGCATTGCCTTTTGGTGGTATTTATATCTGTCTCTAATTTCTTATATATGGTGAAATCTTGACAGTTGATTTTCTCATCTTCTTTTAAAATTGTTGAGCATAATTTGTTCAGAAGACTGAATATATCAAGGGGACTTAGTGCTTGTTAAAAAGAAGAGTGTTCAGTTGGGGAGGGGGATAAGAAGATAGACGGTAGATTATAATCAAGTAATATACATATGCAAAACTGAAAAAACAAATAAATTTTAAAAAGAAAATACAGAGTTTGAAATGAGGATTCTTTGGATTCAGCATAAACCTTTGAGCCACTCAGTCAACAATCAATCTGAAACTGTCTGTGCAGTTACAACGGAGATTGCAGGTATGTGATAGCTGATAAGCCAGTAGCCACAGTCGTAGTGGGACGTGGAACACAGTGATAGGATCTTTAAATTTAAAACAAGTCGCATGACAGCGTAGTTGAAGGGTCAGTATGGCACTCATTTTTAAAGTAATATTAAAGGAGAGTTAGTCATAGGAGCTATGTTCCATGTCCAGGTCTTATAGAGGTTTTTCCTGCCTCGACATTTTTGAAGGCTGTCCCTGAGATAATGTGGGTTTTGCTTAGATGTAGTCTCTACTTGTTTATGCTAGGAAAAATGAAAATGTAGGCTTATTTGATTACTATAAGTCGATTCCATTTATGGGATGATCTGTTACTTTTGTGGTGGGTTAGAACACTTTTATTTCCTGCTTTGGCAGGGCTAAACTGAGGCATAATTTTCTATAAGTCTTTGACACATGAAAGAAGTGCTAAGGTACAAGTTTTAATATGGCTTACATAGAAACTTAAATTATTATACAGAAAGGAGCAATTGAGTAACAAGGAATTTTTCCCTTGAAGGTAATTAGTAAAATGTCTCCGACATCCCTGAAGCTCACACTGAGGCAGCTCATGGAGGGCTCATCAAAGACCTTGCAAGAGGTGCTAACCATGGAGTACAGACTATCCCAAGCCTGTATGGTAAGAGTTTATACAGAATATCAGTATTTTCTAGTTAGGAAAATGGAAATTGTAGAACATCTAAAACTCAGAATAAGAGAATGGAAGACAGGTTATTAAGGTCTGCCTGAAGAAATGGTAGAGGAATTGGGTCACATAGTCAAAGAAAATTATCTGTCTTTTTAAAAAAAAATCATGGAGAATATGCAGGATCTGTGGGCCAAATTTATGAATTATAGGCATCAAAAAAAAAAAAAGGGCAGGAGATCAAAGGCGTAGAGAATGTATTCAATAAAATCACAGAAGAAAAATTTCCAAATCTAGGAAGGTGTCATCTAGGTGAAAAAGGCATTCAGAACACAAATACAACCAAAAAATAAATTTCCCACAGCATATACCAGTCAAAACACTATAGGAGCAAAACAGAAAGTGTAGCAAGAACAACAAGAGTGAAAGGCCGAGTCACAGAGAAAGGTGAGTCATCAGAATAACAGCTCAATTTGCAGTGTAAATTTTAAAAGTCAGACAGGCTCAAACTAATGATAGATGTCAGCCCAGACTATTTGACCCAGCAGATCAATCTTTCATAATTGAGGACAGAAGAAAAAGTCCCCCAACCGAAGCAGGTGAAAGTAGTTTATGACCATCAAGCCAGCCCTTCAGAGAAAACTAGAAGGACTGCTTCATACTGAAGAGAAAGAGAGGCAAAGCTAAGGTGATGGGGGAAAAGAAATGTTAGGTCAGTGATTGCACAAAGAGGGACAAAGAAAACAAACATCAAAATCAGCAATATGGCCAGAAATGAGTGCACACATGTCAGCAATAGCTGAGTATCAGTGATCTCAGCTCCCTAGTCAAAGAGATAGGTTAGCAGACGGTATCTAAAACAGGACCCAACATTGTGCTGCTTCCAAGAAACATACATACCAAACACAGACATAGAGACAAGAAAGAATGGCCCAAGGTATCCATTCCAAGCAAACAGTATGAGGGAACAATGGGAATTGCTGTTCTAGTATTTGACATAAGAGACTTCAAATTAAAGCCTTATAACAAAGCCTTTCTTCTTAAAAAAGAAACAGAATCAAGGACTGTGAGGCTCATTTGTGAAATGAGAGATATTAGAACATGGTCATGAAGGACAGAATCATCCAAAGAGGAACAAGATTAAAGTATACTAACAACAGCGTTCACTGAACACGTAGTGTGCCACTGTGCCCTTAGGACACTGTTAAAATAGCCCCATGATGAACTGATGTGGGCACATCATAAAGGAAACTGCATGGCAAGGCAACACAGTCACTGCAGTAGTGCCAGGCATTTGAATTGCAGCCACCAGCAATGATAGCAGGAGAGGACCATGGAACACCTTTTCAAGAAAAGCCCCGAGAAGGGAGAGGAGGTGTGTATTGGAATGCAGCCATGACTGGACCTAGAGGGAGGTCTTTCTCCTTCCCTCTAGACTTTAAAAGGAGAGAAGAGGCTAGAGTCAGCATCAGCTGCCAGCGTCTTGGTGCAGAAAAGCAGCATCATGTCAGAGGGGTTCTCTTTTGCTAATAAGGAAGTTAGGTCCTTACCTGAATGAAATAGAAGCAGAGAGTGAGTGAGAAGGATAGAAGTTGAGGAATCAGAAATCGTTTAAATCATTACCTTGACAATAGGGAAGACATCAGGGACTATGGGTGATGTTTTGTGCTTGAGACTTAGGATTATAAAGCTCGAAGTTTAAATGAAATTAATCACACGTCTGTGGTCTCTCTCTCAACAGGGAGCCAAGAACTCAGCTAGTATAGGGAGTTTGCTGGAAAACTATAAAGGTCTGAGGGCTGGGCTAGATAAAGGGAATGCGGGAGTGACAGGGCACAGCTGAGGAGCAAGGACAGGGCACAGCTGTGGAGGAGCAGGGATAAGTCTCAGTGGGCTTGCTGGAGCCAATGAGGTTGCAAGATGGTCTGAAGTGAGCTTTCTGGAGGGTCCAGTCTGAGTGCTGTAGTCAAAGTGGTTGTCATGGGAGTGAAACAAGGCGGGCAGAAAAAAGAACATAGGAACAAAGGCCCAGAATTCCTCATTCCCTCTTGACTCTCTTTCAGGAAGCTCATGACTTTCACGAGGGCGTTAGAGCTGGTAAGTGACAGGCATCTGTACTTCCTCCTGTCAAGGAAGCAGGCTTCTGAGTGTGCTCAGTTAACTTCAGTGGCTGTTTTAGTGAAAAATACAACTTTTAGAATGGTTGCACTGTGTGTGTTTGTGTGTGATACACATGGGAAGGTGTCTCCAAAACTGTTTTACCTTCATGTCTTGATACTGTTCTCTGATGTGTGTGCCAGACACTGCCCTCTGCTCACAGGATCTTATAATTTGTAAGCATGTGCTGCTGCTTTTGAAAGGTGTGTTGATTCTTAACCAGAAAGCCCTCAGCTCTTCCTCCTTCCTCTGCACTGTTCCGATATGACTGAGTGCACCACCCATCTCCTGATGTGTCAGTAGTTACCTGGGAGAGGACACGGGGCATTGGACCTTTTTTTTTAAAGATTTATTTATTCATTATGTATACATCATTCTGCCTGCATGTGTGCCTGCAGGCCAGAAGAAGGCACTAGTTCTCTTTATAGATGGTTGTGAGCCACCGTGTGGGTGCTGGGAATTGAACTCGGGATCTCTGGAAGAGCAGACAGTGACTCTTAACCTCTGAGCCATCTCTCCAGCACGGGGGCATTGGACTTGAGATGGGCACTCGCTCATCTCAAGGCAGTGCAGTTAGAAGAAGGGTATGTTGTTTTTCTCTAGTGCATTTGCAACCATTCCTTTTCTGTATAGTTGTTATGTTTATAGAGAGCTGTTGTTCCTTATATGAAATAAGTTCTTTTCTTCTGCATAAACTTTGCATGGCTCTTTCTGGCCCCCAACCTGGCCAGTTTCCTTGTTTTTATTAATTATTTTAATAGAGTACACCTTTCTCCCATCCCCTCCCCGCTGTGTGTGTGTGTGTGTGTGTGTGTGTGTGTGTGTGTGTGTCTGTGTGCCTGTGTGTGTCTGTGTCTGTGTGTCTGTGTATCTGTGTATAGGCTACTGCTTAACACTGATCAATATAATCTCTAACCCCAGAAAATTTCCTCTCAGTGAAAGGTTATGTTTTCTGCACCATGAGATTTGCTTAATTCCAATTGTTGTTGTAGAATTCTCTTAATGTATAGCATGATGTATCATTATGCAGAGAGTGCAGGTCATTTTGGGAGACTCGTGGATTAGAGTCCAAGCAGGTGGCTGTATGATTAAAAAAAAGTATGCGTCTTTCCTACTAATGGGTTCTTTGTGGGCTGCGTGCTAATTAGAATTGTGGTCCCTGCTCTCAGAGGATCTGCAGTGCTTAAGAGTTCTTATAAAGTATTAACTGTTATGATGCTCTTTTTCCAAATACAAGAGATAGTCACATACTATAGATAAATATTTTCAGTTATTTAAGGAAAAGGGAGTTGAAGTTAGTCAGCATCAGAATATTGAATCACAAAGCAAGTGCCTGTCAGGTGTGGTGGTACACACCTTTAAAATCCCAGCATTCAGGAGGCAGAGGCATGTGGATCTCTGAATTCCAAGCCAGCCTGGTCTACTTATTGTGTCCAACCTAGACAGAGCCACAAAATAGAGTCTCTGTCTCCAAAACCAAAAGAATAAAATAATCCACAATAACAACAAGAAAAATAAAGTAATTGCTTATCAAGCTACTTTACTAAAATTGAAAAAGAACTTTTATCATATGACAAACTTTTCCTGTATAAGACAGGCTAGTCTCAAACCTGCCAGCTTCCTGTCTCATCCTCTTGAGTGCTGGAGTTACTTTCATGTGCATCCAGACCTGTCTCAAGCTACATTTTTTTTCAGCGAGACAAAAATGTTACCTCCTGTTTCAGCATAGACTTTTATTCAGAAAGTAACATCTGTTCTGAGTAAAACTGTTTAGTATTCTTGCTGCAATTTACTGACTATAAAAAATTTGTCAGCAAATTAGGTAAAATAATTTCACAAATTAGGGAGGTGGTTGTTCAACATTCTTACTCTTAGTGTCTAGGATGAACTCCTCTCTGGTATAGACGATAAAAATGAAGCGTTTTAGCAGAGCCCAAGGTTAGAAGCTCTGCCTCCTGCGCTGAGCATCCCACACGGACAGCACTGTCCACCTTGCAGGGGCAGATTTGCTTAGTGCTCTCTCCTGTGCTCCTCCAATAGAATCCCAAGGAGTTAGACAGCGCTAGCCACACAGCTGAAGAGAAAGAGACTCTGTGGAAAGGGTATCCTAAGACTGGTCTTTCGTTGGCACTGGCTAAGAAATAGAAGCTTTAGGTTGGAAGGGCTCACATCCACTTCTGATCTGCCTCACAATCCCACACTAGACAGTCAAATGTGTGGTCTCCAGTAGCGCTGTCTGCATACCTGTAGTCCCCAGCTATCTCAAAACTAAACACAAGCACCTCTTCAATGTCTACAGGTAATTGTGTGTAAAGCTTCCTGTGCAACAAGGCATCCTTCTTCTTTGCTTCCCAGAGTGGTGCTCCAACTATAGACTTAATGCTTAATTTTGGTTTTTGTAAATCTCTATAGAGCTTGTATATTTAAGGCTGGAAATATAGCCTAGTGACAGAATGCTTGCCCAGGGTGCATGAGGCCTAACAGCAAACAACAAAACAAATGCACACACAGCCACACACACACATACTCATGTACACACGCCCACACCCACGGGCATGCACACTCTCTCCCATCTTTTGTTAAAGGCTGAGTTTTGCTACCTTACCAGTTAACTGATTGCGGTTGTAGATTCACAAATACTTGTGAGGAACAGTATGGAGCTCTTGCATTCTCTCCATCTAGGCTCCTGAATAGCATGAGTGTAACTGTAGTGTATTAACACCAGAAAATAGGCATTCTTTTTATTTTGTAAGCACTTACAGATTGCCTCACACTTAGAATCCTTAGGCGCTATATTTTGGCTACCCTGAGTGATGCCTGTGCTGAAACAGTAGATTTGGTGATTACCTGATGGTCTATTTTTGTTGCTTTGTTTTTATTCAAAGCTATGTATACCAGAGGATTTGGCAGAAGGGCAATATCTACATTTAATTATGCATAAAATCTTTTTTCCTCTACCTCAATTAATTTTCCTTTTAAAACCTAGTTAGAAGCCTAGGTGGCCCTTGACCTCCCTTGCCTCTCCTCTGACCTGCACCAATACCAAGTTTGGTTGTCTGTGACATGGAGGTTTCATTTATAATTTTGTCTGAGGACAGAAGAGGAATGTCTAAGCTGTCAGATTAGTTCGCTGGGTTTTTTATTAAAAGCATAAGCCTTTCAAAATATGTGCTGTAGAAAAATATGCCTAGTAAAACACAGTTATTAGTTCAGTAATTAAATCTGGTAACAGCAGAAAAATGTGCTAATTCTTGACCTTCTTTTGACAGTTCTCATTGACAAAGACCAGAGTCCAAAGTGGAAACCATCCAATCTAAAAGACATTACTGATGAAGATTTGAATCATTACTTTAAATCTCTGGGAAGTAGAGATTTGAAATTCTGAGGTGGTCAGACCCCTAAGGTTTACTTTGGAGCAGAGGTCATTAAACCCATAGCCAGAGGCCAGGTCTGGCATCTTGCCCATTTTCATCCAGCCTACAAGCTGAAAATGGTTTCCTCATTTTTAAATGGTTGGGGAAATGACCAGACTAATGTTTCATGATACAATGGTTGCCTGAAGTTTAAACAACAGTGTTTATAACTTCTCATGGTATGACAGCTGAAGTTCCAGCACCAATGTTTTCTAGAACGTTACGGCAGCGTCGCAGCAATTGTTATCTGTGGCTGCTTGGAGTGGTCATGGCATAGACTGTGTGACCCACAGCACTCAAATGTCTACTGTGATCTTCATCAAAAGTGGTTTGCTTGTCCCTGCTTTAAAAGATCAGAACTTCTCAAGAGTTCCAGAGAATCCTGAGTGTATCTCTCATTTAAATGGTAACTGTGGGTTCCAGGGGTAGTTTATAGGCTAACTAACCAAATTATGAAGAGATTATTAAAAATAAAGACCCTGAAATTTGGAGGTGGTATGTTGATGCTTTATAACTTTTCATTTTTTTAAACATATGAATATATTTTAAAACAACAGTGTAGCAGAATAATTATTTGTAACCAGGAAAACTCTCATGTAAAAAAGAAAGAGGTTGTAGGAAGTTCTGTCTCCAGAATGCCAGCTAATCCTCAGCCTTTCCTGGGTCATCAGAACACCCTTCCCAGTAGAAATGAAAGCATTATTCTTGTCATTGCTGTATTTTTCTAGCCTGGAAAAAATGAGAAATTAAGAAACTCCAGTCTCTAAGACAGACACACTCTGCTTTTTACATCAAACCATTATGTGATAAACTAAAAGCAGTTTAAAATATAAATATTTTTAGTAATTTAATTGAAAGTTGACAGAATTCTTCTTCAAATATTTTTATGTGTATGCACATTTTGTCTGCATGTGTACCATATGCCTGCACAGCTAGTAGGGAGCATTGCATCCCCTGAATGAGAATTAAGGATGATTCTGAGTTGCTGTGTAGGTGTTGGGAACTGAACCTACCTCCTCTAGAAGAGCTAGGTCTTAAATGCATTTATTAAGCATCTCTCTAGCCTTGACAGAATGTTTTTAAGGGATGTAAGAAACTGCAAAGAATTCCATACTCAAGATCTTAAATTTTTAAGTCAGATAATTTTTACATGAGTCAGCTAATCATTTATTTTGTAACTTGTTAAAATGTCTCCTTCATCCCAGGCTCTGATAAACTAAGAGACTGTGAGGCAAGAGCAAAAGCAACAGAATTGAAAAGAGCTGTGGGCTCCTGCCAACATGGCATCCCCTGTGACCTCCCCCACCAACACACACAGGAGGCAGCTCCCGCCTAGAGGGTAGTGCTTTCCACATGTTCTCAGCTCTCAATCTACTTGTCATAAAGCATGCTTCCTCCAAAAGAACAGGTCTGAAATAATACCCTGGTACAGGCCAAGTTTCACATTTTGTTCTAAAGCTCCTAAATTAGACCTTAATAGACCAAGAGCTTGTCTATGTCGGTGCACTTTCATTCACTTTGTACGTGTTAGCAGTACAGAATAGAAGTCTCCATGTGAAACATCAGTGAAGACCACACCAAAAGGGGTTTACTTCAGCTGGCTAATTGCGATTGAACTTTTATTATAGTTACAAAAAATTTTTTTCACAAAAATATTTGGGGGAAAAAATACCACTTCAGAGTTAACTCTTACGGGGAATTTGCTAATAAAACTTGAATTTTGTGAATAAAGTAACAGCTAATTCTTTGAAGCTAGTATTTATGGCTCCAAGGAAGAAACACATGGCTTGCTAGGTCATTTAACATATATCCTATGTTTCTATAGACATTACATATATATTACTGCTTCTTGACCATTTATACATGTCTAACTTCATATTTCTAAAATAATATGATTCAAAAGTATACTTTGTCCCATCTCACTGAATGCCAGTGGTGATTAAGTAGGATGTGCATATCATGCTATTTCTGTGAATTTATTTTTAATGCTTATGAGAGCTTGATACAGATTTTGGGGGGCTTAAGATAACCATGCCTGTCCCTTCAAAATTGTCCTTGAAGTGATAATAACCACAGGTAGTTGGTAAAGAACTGATAAGGAAACTAAGATGGGAGAATTCTAGCATCAAAGGCCTTAAGCAAAACAAAACAGTACCAAGAGACAACAGGGAGGAGCAGTGACACACACTGTGGCATTTTAAGTCTTAGCAAATTCGGAATTGGCACATTGATTTCCTCTACAGATGTGCCTGAGGCCATGTGCTGTAGCAGTCCCTCTGCCCTTACGCTGGTGTTCTACATGTCCCTGCTAACGAGTGGGTCAGTGCTCTGTTCATGGGTCCCTCCTTCTTAGTGCTCTTCTTCCTAATGAAAGACCTCAAATAAGGCTCAGATGATGACTATAAAGGCAGGAAAGAAGGCTGACCCCTTATGAAAGATGCCTCGTTCTCAGCAAGGCCAAACTATACCCCGATACTATCCAGTGTGGTATAAAGTGTGTTCAACTTTTTACTCACACACAGTTTATTCACATCTCTATGTAAGCCTTGTGGTTCCTTGTTCATGGGCTGACATACAGTTCTCATGTGTTGTAAAGGTAAGTCTTTTAGAAGATTATGATGTATATCTTTCACTAAAGTCAAGATGAGGACACAGTGCTTGCTTTCACAGTAAAACTGCTCATCAGAGTTGCTGAAAGAGGGTAGCAGAGGTGGTACATACTCTTGCTCCACCACTGGAATTAACGTGGGACAAAGAGGAAACTTGAAGTTGAAATACTCACATATAAACCAAACCCACTTGCCAGTATCCCTAGGTAGACTATGTCTTCATGTTCTAACCAACGTATATATTATTTTGTATACTTAATTATATATTTTGAATAACAAGAAACCTTGTAACAGGTGTCCTCATATGAGAAGCCAGATGAGTGGAAAACATTATAACCTAGGCTTTTGCCTGAATTGTCAGTACAGAATTAGAAACTCTAGAGTGTTCCATGAACTGGACATTATGGGAAGCACTCTGCACTGTGCCTTATGTGCAGATGGGTATAGGAACCATAACCATCTGTGTGGTTGCTTACAGTTGTGTAAGCTGTTCGATTACAGGTGGGGTGGAATACTGTGACTCCACAACGATCAGATTTCTGAAAGCAAACTGAAAGATGTCCTGTTGCTCATTTTAATGACCTCTCTGCTTCTAAAACCTGGAGGCTTCACACTGTTCGACTATTAAAACTAGAGGCAGTATTTCTTACTATGGACAAAGCCAAGAACTTATTTAGCTCACAGTGATACCAGAAGCCTTTCTCCAATGGTTTTGGATTTCAAGAATGCTGATAAACCATGTCACTGAGGGGCAGGTGTAGATGGACCCCATTTCCCCTCACTCTGTGCTTAGCACAGTTCATTGATAATTCTAGACACTCAGTCCCATTCTTCTATTGACTTTGTCCTAAGTCTTTTATTACTACTGAGCTTTAAATAGTTAAGTTCTTTAAAAAATAAAAAGTGTATATTCTATGATAGTTTTTAAAATGCCTAATTTATAACACTTCTACAATATATGGCTAAAAGTGCTTTGTGGGCATGCATGACTGCTAAAACCCACACAAGTTCTCCATTCAGGAGAATATATGGCTCGAGAGATTGCTAAATCCCACATAGGTGCTCCCTTTGGGAGGAAAGTTCTGTCCTACTCTTAGGAGAATTGCAAGTCCTCTTGGACCATCAACTCCTGCACCCCTGCACCAGCACTTCAGCGAGGCTCTACACAGAGTTAGCCATGATACCAGCTTCAAGTTTCACCTTGCAGACTAGGTGTCTCTCATTTTCAAGATCTACTGGATGAAAGATAACAAAGAGCATATTTCTATGCAATGAAGTTGTCATGACTTCTGTAAATTATCTTTTAAAGATGGCCATAACACGCAAAGTTAAAATCCTCCAGTAACATTTGTGGCAGGACCCTGAGGCTCAAGGTGGGTGTTATTCTTTCCATCTACAAAAATAGACTTCCTACTGACTTTCTACTGAGAACAGCATTCAAGGCAGCCCTCTCCATTGGTGGTTCCTAATGTTCGGTTACAGGTGTCAGGACGTGGGCAATCCCTGACACAAATGGTTTTAACAACAGGCATGCTCTGGATCACTGTGGCTGGCATTCATTCCTTGCTGAGACATTTTAAGGAAACGCTTTTCATGTTCTGTGTTTTTGGGTTTGGTTTTGTTGGTTGGTTTTTTTGGGTATAAATTAACAGAAATAGTCATTTTAAAGTCAATCCCTTAAAATAACCATTTGGAACTTAGGCACGTTTTAGTCAACATTTTCTTTGGTGATGTCATTACTGCCTCAGGAAGAGCATGGTATGACAGACAGCTAATGACATGGCATAAGACCTCTGTCCAGACCTTCTACGACCAAAATTCAAGATCAAGCAGATATACATTGATGTTAACATAGAACTGCTTAAAATTATACTTCATCATCAGCATCCCTACACTAATATTATCACAGACATGGTTTTTACATCCAGTTGGAGTTTTAAAACTTGGTTCATGTATTTAAACTAGCACCGACTACATCCAGAGCACAGCAGAGTATCATCCAATGGCGGTGTCGGAGCCTTCACTCTCGATGAATGGGATGTTGGAGTATTTGATGTTCTCACATGCCCACTGCTTCAAGGCATCCTGCACAATTTCCTTGGCCAGATGTTCTGCATATTCAAGGACCACATTAGCAGGCTCTGGGTGTTTCTTCACTTCCTCCTGGACTTGGGGTTGGCTTAAATAAAGGACCGTATGTTGAAAGCTTTCCTCTGGGATAAATGCTTCTTCATTCTCATGTATCCTTTCAATGTCTAATGTGGTAGGAAATGGGAACGTTTGCTTTGACTTCATGCAGCCCATGATGTAGAGCTTTGGCAGAGTGAAGGCAGGCTGTGTTAAGACTACTTCAACAGCATCTTTGGAAAACAGTACAGGGTTGTCCACACAATGTTGACCAGTCTTTCCTCTCAGGCCACTTTGGCAACCGCTGATCCCTTTCACTACTCTTCACGTCTTGTGTTTACCTGTCAAGAGAAGAGAGTTTTCACTGTGAGGTTCTGTGTGACGTGGAGCCCTTGGTCCCTTGAAAGAAAAGTGAAGTTCTCTACAAACAAACTTATCAACCAAAGCTGGAGAAATCACTCAGCAGGAATGACAGGTTACTCAAACCTTTTTTGAACTTTGAAAACTTTATAAAACTAAATGGAATAAAACTTTATATTAGCAAGGGATCATTCTTGGGCTGAATTCCAACCACCTTTTTAAAAAATTCTTTTACAATTTCATACATATATAATGTATTTTGGTCATATTCTTTGTATTACCCTCTTAATTTAGTTACCCTGTCAAACCACCAAATCCCTCCAAACAAGTCCCCTTCTTTTCAAGTTTTCTGTTGCTGTTTTTCTCTCCCTCTCTCTCCCTCTGCTGCCCCCCTCCCCCCCCCCGCCATGTGTGGGTGGTCACCCGACTGCATTTAATCAGACCATTTTAAGGTCAATACTTTAAAACAGTACTTCTCAACCTTTCTAATGCTGTAGCTCTTTAATACAGTACTCGTGTTGTGGTGACCGCCAACCATAAAATTATTTTTGTTGCTATTTCATAATGATAATTTTGCTGCTGTTATGAATCATAATGTAAATATGATATACAGGATATATGATATGTAACCCCTGTGGAAAGGTCATTTGACCCCTCCTGCCACGGTTTGAGAACCACTGCTTTTAAATAACTGTGAAATCTGGGCACTTTTATTCAGCATTTCACTTGGTGGTACCATCTCCGGGCAGTGAATGCACCGCTGTCTGAATGAGCATTCAATTGTGAACATTGCTCTCAAGGAACCCAGTGCTTCGGATTTGCGGAAATGCCAAGGCCTTGCCCTGCTTGGGCTGTGGATGTTGACAGCATGTGCAGAAGTGTGCACCTGACCCCAGCTTTTCTGTACACATGTCTGTCATTTAATCCCCACTACCACTGCCCAAAGTCATGTAGGCCATGGTAGCCACTGCTGCCTCAGGAAAGCAGAAAACATGTTTCTACAAAGAAAGCTGAGCAGAGCAGAGCACAGTTCCTCTGTTTATGTTGTGTGTGGCTGGGCTTTACTCTCAATGGTGAGACTGCATAGTTAGGGCAGATTTTACCCACAAAGTCTAAAATTTTACTCTTTGGTCCTTGGTAGGAAGTGTTTCCTGATTCTTGATCCTTACTACTAAGGTTCCTTCTACCATACTGTCCTCCTCCTACTCTTCCTTGGTGTTTAAACAGGAAATAGGCAGTACTCTGTTGTGCCTTATTTGCATCCCAAGTGGGTGTTGTCATTAGAGGTATTAATTAATGATCTTAGAGGAGACTTTAGGGCTTATATAAGTGACTGCTTTAAGGAGAGGCAGCCATATATGAGCACAGGTAAAGTGCCTGAATGACATCAGTAGTTCCTGTGTATGGTACCTGATTACCACTTAGTTTTTAGACCTCAGAAGGAACCCTAAAAAGTCATAAAATCTGGTACCACTGATCCCTAGAAAGTAAAGGCTACTGTATACCTACTCACTTTTAATAGTTTCTAATCAAAGAAGTCTAGAAAAGCTAATCTTTGCTTGACTCACTGCTATACTTTTTTTTTTTTTTTTTGTAAATACACAGGCTTTTTTTTTTCTTTCTTTCTTTCTTAATTCTACTCCCAATCTCTACTACTAAGTAAGGATGATATGGGGAGCAAAAAGAATTCTAGGCTTCTGTTTTTAAATGTTTTTAGTTTTGTATGCCTTGCCTCATGTTCCAGATTTCAGAGAGGTATATCAAAAGGGACTGTAGAATGTACTGAGTGTCTATCTTGTTTGCTTCACTGAGCTCTTTGAAAACAGGTCTTCCTCAGTTATAGATCTCCAACACAGAGCATGTAGTTACTTACCATAGACTGTTTTGGAGTGAGAAGTGATATGGGAACTGGGCATAATTAGAATGATTAGAAACTGGGAATGATTAGAAAACTCTGTCATAAAAAAGAAAGCAGGGTATGGAAGTAGGTTTGTCCAGTGGCCCCACCTTCTAGCCACTTTCCACTTCCTGTCATGCCAAAACCCCCTGTGCTCTGGCCTTGCCTGGTGAGTCTGCTTTCTTATCCCTCTTCCTCCTGCACACAGCACCTGCCCAGAACTCTGTCTCTGCAGGTCTTATCCCATCACCACACTCTAGCTACTTTCCAGGTCTAGCCTGGCCAGCATATCCTGTCCTCCTGTCTAGCCTGCTGAGTTTACAAACCGCCTGAATTCACCTCAACGCTCAGGTGGAGCTCAGCCCACATCCAGTGCTCTAGCCTAGTCTAAGGAGCCCTTCCTTAGATAGCGCATATCTGGTGTGCAGGCCAGTTTGCTGTATCCACATCAAACATACAACCACCAACAAAAAAGGCCACATACACAGGTCTCATGAGAAAACAAAATATAAAAAGACACAACAATTTGTCTCCTCCAAAATCCACCAGTCATGTAGAAATTTTCTGTAATAATTTTTATGAGCCCCAGGACACAGATCTTAAAAGAACGATCTAGACTTTGTCTAAGAATTTAAGAAGTTTAAAGAAGAAAAAAACAGCTCAGTGAACTTAGAATGAACATAGAGAAAAATGTGTGAGTACTTCGCCCCCCCCTCCCAAAAAAATAGGGCTGACAAAATGACAAAATCTAGGATTTGAAAAGGAAATTCAATAAAGAGAAGCATTGAAAAGACTTGAAATAAAATGAAGACAGAATGTAAAATTCAGTATCCCAATTAAAAAACTCATGGAAAGACTTTCCAAATAGAATAGTTTAAATAGAAGATAGAATATCAGGGCTTGGAGACAAAGGAATTAGAGTATACAAACAAAGAATATGAAAATATTAAATTCAGGAAAAGAACATTTAGGAACTGTGGGATACCATGGTAAGACCACATCTTCTAATTAAAGGTATAGATGAAAAAGAATACCAAGTCAATGGTATAAACCAGATCTTAAGAAAGAATATGTAAGTGAACTTCTTCTAAGGAAGGACAGTATCTTACAGACATAAGCATATAGAGCACCAAAGAGATGAGGCCAGAAAAGAAACTACTCATGAGATATCACACTTAAAATACATATACAGAAGAAAGAGTGATAAAACCTGCAAGAAGAAAAAAAAAAAAAACAAAAACCTCACATATAAAGGAAAACCTCCCAGAATAACATCTGATTTCTCTATGGAAGCTTTGTGAACTAAAGTAGCCTGAAGCAGTGCATTCCAAAGTTCTAAAACCATGATGGTCAGCCTCAACTACTATACTGAATAAAACTATGTCACATAATGGTAGGAGGGGAAAATTTCATGATACAAACTGCCTAAACACTCTATAACTATCAAAGCAGTCCTACAGAATACTAGAAGCAGTACTTCAGACTAAAGAGAGGAATACCTATGGCCAAGAAACTAAAGAGAATGAAGCTATGATAAATACAGAGCATGACTAAGAAGCAGCAAAAAGCCAACAAAAATTACTGCTGTATATACACTTTTGAATAATAACTTAAAAAAAAAAATAGACTCAATTCTCCAGTCAAAAAGCATAGGCTCACAGAGTAGATTAAGAAACAAAATTCGTCTTTCTGTTGTCTACAGGAAACTCAGTGTTAGGAACCACTTTAAATTGAAAGGATGGAAAATATTGTTCCAAGCAAATGGGACCAAAAGGAAACAGGAATTGCCATCTAAATATCTGACAAAATTAGACTCCAAACTAAATTAATTAGAAGAGACAAATGGCATTTCACTTCTAATTAGGACAACAATTAACCAAGAAAATATTGTAATACTACACATGCATACTAAACAAACTCTGGGGCACTGAATGTCATAAAAAGCATATGACTAATGTTAAAGGCAGATTAATATCAGCCCAGCAGTAGTAGGCAATTTCAGTAATTCAATTTCTCCAATAGATATGTCATCTGAACAAAACATTAGAGAACCGTCAGACATTTTACATCAAACGGACCTAACATATCTACAGGGTATTTCACCCGAACACTAAAGAATACATATTTTATTTAGTAGCCATGGCAACTTCGCTAAAATAGACCATATCCTAGGACACAAAACAAATGTTAACAAATTCAGAAAAAAAAAATAATTTCCATGTGTTCTACTTGATAAGTATGCAATAAAACTTAAAACTGATAGCAAACAAATTTCTGTCAGTGAAAAACTCATGGAGCTTAAACAACTCTTTAGTGGACCATGAGCTGGCAAAAAAAAAAAAATCAAAACAATTTTTTAAAAAATTAATGGAACAAAAAAAAATTTATGGAACTGGGGAGGCAGAGGCAGGTAGATCTCTTTTGAGTTAGAGGCCAGCCTGGTCTACAAAGCAAGTTCAGGACAGCCAAGGCTACTCAGAGAAACCCCGTCTCAAAAAAACAAAAACAATACATTTATGGAACTAAATAAAAATGAAAACACACCAAAAGCTCTGGGATACATTAAAAACAGTTCTTCAAGGAATATTATAGCTAAATAATAGCCTACATTAAAAAACAAAACAGGAGCACAACTAAATGGCTTGATGCAATTCAAGAATTTAGAAAAACAAAAGACAAACACAAATCTAGGATACAACAAGAAATAATAAAAATTAAAGCAGAAATTAAATAAAAACAAAACAATATAAAGAATCAATGAAACTAAAAGCTGGTTCTTTAAAACAATAAACAAGATTGACATACTCTTGGCTCAACTTACCAAAAGAAATAGAGAATACAAATTAACAGAACTGAACAATGAAACCTTTAAAATAGACCCCCAAAAATATTCAGAGTATTTTAAGGGAATACTTTTAAAACCTGTACTCCATCAAGTTGGAAAATCTAAAAGAACAGATTAAATTCTAGATATATCAAAACATCCAAGGTAAACCACAAAGAGATCAAGGACCCAAATAGAAAGAAAGAATAAGTTGAAACAGTAGTAATAAGTCTTCTGGCAAATTTATAGATATCGAAGGC